CAGATGTGAACAGGAAATGAAATATCATTGTTAAAATAAAATTGGATGATTTGGTCATGGCATGTTGATGTTTGTATCTCATTCAAGGCTGCAGGTTATTGAGCTAATGATGTGTGTATTTTTTGAAAGGATGAAAAGAGCCCTCGCGGTTATCGGCTGGTTGGAGATGTCTGCTATGAGGAGGCCAGCGAGATTGCTTCAGCAATTACTCCAGTACCTGGGGGAGTGGGTCCAATGACAATAGCAATGCTTCTCTCTAATACTCTCGTATCAGCAAAAAGAGTACACAACTTCCAGTGAAGATGTTCAGAGGTGCTGCTACTGGCGAAGATCTCCCCTCTAATTCAGTTAAAGACGCCACCATCATATTCTTGATCCTGAGCTACCATTGGTTTTTTATTGTGGGAACATTTCCTTCGTGTGCTTTTCAGTTCTCACCACTTGAAATCGAGAGAGATTTTTCTGAGTGTTAAAAGGCAGGTTCTTTTTTTTCGGTCAAAAGAGTTGAAAGCATCTTTGTTTTAACTGTATGATGTATTTTCGATAAGAGAGGGTTTATGTAGCAGGGGTTCCATGTTGGCTAGGAACTCTGATATGTTATCTGATAAAAAAATCTTGGAAGGCATCCTCTTTACCCATAATAGAAATGGGGTTTGCAGACTAAATGTAATAAGTTAAATTTTTTAGGTTTGGTATTAGATTGGAGATTCATCTCCAAAGAAAATGTAGATGAATTTGTTCATGGGTTGGTCTTTTTCTATCTCTTTAATAGAACTGGTGATGGATGATGCGAAATAGTACTTTGCCCAAATCATGGAAGAGACTCGTTTTTCTTTTTTCCTGTTCTTTTGCAAGAAGGAAAGATCTCGCATACCAGAGAAAAGAGCTAACATATCAGAAGTACTGCTGATGTAAAACATCCAAATGTAGTTTGACAAGTGAACAGTAGAAGAGTAGCCAATACTTTAGAACTTTTGGAGTACAACTAGTAACCAATTGATACACAGATGATCTTCTACGTCAAAGCATAAGTGGCCAAATCCAGAATATCAAACAAAGAAGATAGTCATAGCAGCTTTCCACCAGTAAGGTCAATTCGCGCTTCGAAATGGTCCACACCAGTTTTGCTTTGCAATTTTGTACTCCTAAGAATTGAAACCTGAAAGATGGAAACAATTTAGTCCACAGCTTCACAACGGATCCTACATTCTTGTTAGAAATCAATAGGTATTGACAGTATGAGGACGAAGAAAAGAAGGGAGATAAAAATGCAAAGATCAGACTGTGATACATACCTTGGGCCGCTCCATAGAACTTCCAAAGTATCCTATTCCAAAGGATAAGGAAGAGTAAGCAGCTGCAATCTCTACAGCTTTCAACTTTGAAGAACTTCCTGAAACCTGAAAAGCAACATATAAACATACAATTGCTTCAGACAACAATTCCTGTAGAACAAAAAAAAGGAATTCTTACAGACAACTAACAAAAAGGTTCTAACTTGGAACTCACTGTTGTGGGATCATCAGCTTGCACAAGTAGAATTCCAGCACTTCTATCAGTACAATTGTGAGTACTCTCTTGAACAACAGAGCGTAAAACTTTCATGCAAGCAGAGGCAGGACCTGCCTGTGAACTAAGCAATGAATATGAAAGTCAAGTTCACATACTGGGCATTATCTGAACAAGAATAGACATGGTATATAAACTAAAAAATTCATAGACATTGTAGGTCATCCCAACGGATGTTCTACAGTGCTAACTATAACTTGGAAGGATCATGATCACTCCGATTTTGGCGGATCCAATATGCAATAAGCAGGATTCTTGGTGTGTGTGTGTCTGAGAGAGATACAGAAGCTATATTGAATTTCAACTTTCACGTCAAGGAAAATTGAAAAAAAATATTATATAGTAATAGGACAAACATACAGTGACAAAGAGACGCAGCACTCCCGAGCTGCAAATCCTTTCATTAGATATTCTCCAGCACCACTTACACAACAGCCAACTACACATGGGGCCCCAAAAAAACCTTTGGAGGATGCCCAACAACCTGAACCATGCATTGCTGCTAATCCCACTCGCCCACCAACCTGTTTTTTTTATTTTTTTTATTTTTAAATACAAGAAACCTGTTAGATTATTAGTCACCACAAACAGGCGACAAACAAATGAGTGCAAATTATTAGAAGCATCTGTCACCTTCAGAGCAATACCCCCACTTGAGGCACCAGAAGCTATTTGTCCTTCAGCATCCACACAAATAACTCCAACAGTGTCCATGACGCAATCATCTTCAGCCCCATTACTCTTCAAAGAATCACATGGCTGACCTTCTAATTCTAAAACATAGATACAACGATCGCTTATAAAGAAGTATAATTCTTTAGGCTTTTTTCTTAATAAGGTCATACGAACTACATAATAAAATTAAGCAAGATGCTAGCTAAAGCAGAGAACTGCAGACTAGAAGAACCAAGAAAAACATCATCATAATAGGAACAGATCATCAATATACATCCGGAGATTATAATAAAACAACAGTTTTGTTGCTATGTCAACAGAGTATCAGATTATTTAAAAGGAAAGAAACTAGAAGAAAATTAAATGCACACATAGAACAGACTTTGATATGAAGTGCAAGTGTATCATGCTGCAACGTACTTTTACGAATTCATAGAGAGCAATAGTTCAGAATTGGCTTTGGCACCGTGATTTAAAACATATCCCTCAAATATTATAATGTGCCTCTTTAGCGCATGTTAAGGCAAGAATAGACACACAGATTACTATACAGTATGGACGAAGAAGGTAAACAGAATGAAAGTGTCATTGCCAGGACAGGTAGACATGTAGATGGTAAGTTGCACTATAAACAATATCAGCTTTGAATGACAGAATTGATCTGTTTAATATCAAAAGGTGATGAAATACCTGACATTCCAGCAGTCTCTTGAGGACAGCAAGAAAGTCCAAAAGCAGATTTTTCTGTCTTTCCTTTTGCATCATCTACCATTGCTTTGTACTTTTTCCATTGTGCTTTTGCCCTTTCTGTCACCAGCCACTGTTTTGAAATACACACATGATTAATTCATCCCTTCTAAGAAATAAATTTGAGGCTGAAATATCCGTGCCATTAAAATTCCAAAATTTGAACATAAGCATAAAAAAATAAAGATAAGTGATTGACATGAAAATTAAATATAAACACTAAAACAAATTACCTCATCAGCAGCTGACGTGCTTGATGTCAAAGCAATGCCCTTGGACTTCGCCCATATGCGGGCACCTTCACCAACCAGGAAGCTACACAACAAAAAATCTGCTCCATCATTAAATTACGTAAAAGAAAACAAGGGAAAGGAAAGAAGAACAAAGGATTAGGAAAAAAAGTCCATTACGGTTTACAAGTATTTAAGGGACAAAATAACAGAAAGAAAATACTGCCAAGTCAAACACAATGATTAGAATGAAAACTATAATTGTCTGATTAAGAGAGAATAATTAGTACATGGGAGGTATTCGGCCCAACAGAGAAGATCCCATCATTTGCTCCTTGGCCAATAAAGCAGCAACCTGGATGGGGTTTCTGACACCTGGTCTACAACATATGCAAGGGATATTAAGTAACATAAGGGAAAAAGTATAGTATATGTGAATAAAATATGTGATTTTCGGCTATGAGAAAACCTGGAATTGCTCCAACAGCTCCAAAAACTCCAGAACTTCCATCCATAATACTGGCATCGCATTCTACATGACCATCTTCTGTCAAATTGGAGCCTCTACCCGCATTCGTGCTTGGGTCATCCTTTGGGCATCAAAACTGAGTTAATAAACAATACACGATATGGTAGGCATCAAATAATGCTCTCAAAGAAAGGAAAGAGGCTTCTACCAACAACCTCTCTACAATTCCATGTGAAGAAAGAGAGACAAATATCTAATCTTCTTTGGAACTTAAATCTTCCTCTTAGATTGTTCTACAAGCATGTTGGTGCTTTTATAAAGCACTCTGTTCTAGCTATTTAAAGTTAATTGGACTAAAGCTCTCTTCAAATTTAAACTCCAAAAGTACACTTCAAAGCAACAGAGTAAACCATGTAAAACAATGATTATTCATTAGAAGAATTAAACCCTTCTACACAAAAGATGAGGCTAAACTCATCCATAAACTGCATCGGACAATTCTTTCCACATACAGAGTCATACCCATTGCATAAGAAGAAATAACAGATACAATCATGCATGTTTACATAGCTAACACTTCGGATACGCAACAACAAACTATGAATTTCTACTTCCTAAGAAGGAATTTTAAAAAGTAAATTAACAAGAAACTTAAAAAAAAATAGATATCTACAAAAAGAAAATATACCTCCAAGACTTGAATAGCAGCCGTAACAGCATCTATACATCTACCAGAACCCTGAAGCAAAAGAAACAAAAAAACATTATAAACAAGCTTGTAGTGTAAAAGGCATTACTAGCGTTTTTATTAATTTATTTTCAATCATCACTTTCGTCAACATAAAATTCCTAAAAATGCCATCACCAATGTTTTCAAGTTTTAATCTTTCCTTCTCTATTTCCCTCAGGTTTTCTAGGCAACCAAACAGGATAAATTAAATATGCGCACGACAGAGAGAGAGAGACCTTGCGGAGAAGTGAAGCGGCAGCGAGACAAGCGCGTTTGATGGCGGACCTGAGGGCTTTCTCGTTGGAAGGCGCGTGGTATCCCGCGCCGACGTGAACCGCTACGAAGAAGGTGGCGTTTTCATCTTCTTGTTGCATTTGGGTAGCGGCAGCCATGGATTGTTTGATGGAACTAAACACAGCGTTTCAGGTGCTCTTCTTTACTTCAAGACACAATTACACTGTACACACCTCATTTTTTAATAAATATTTTCCTACGTCATAGAAATTTGTTAACTTTTATTGCAAAATGAAGCATTTGCTTGACTTGTAATGAGACGATTATTGGCACCATTTCTTTTTTAAATCCAAATTAGACAATCATGGAGGCTGAAATGTGTAATTAAGAACTCGAGTTACTCAAATGGCGAGGGTGAGTGCAAAAATGGTAAAGTTTAGGGTAGGTCAAATCTCAATTCCTTTTCATTGGAACTAGAAAAAGGTGTGTAACATAATAGACTTTTGCTACAATGATGGTGATTAGTTTACGGGTTAATTCCACTTTAGTACTCTGTGGTTACATTTTTAAGACATGTTAATTTCTATTTTCTCAATTTTTATAATAACATACCCCAAACTTTTAAATTTGTTACAATATGTTGTGCTATTAGGGTTTCTGTCATAACATGGTTACACTCTTAAGACATGTTAATCCCTATCTTCTCAATTTTTACAATAACATACCTGGAACTTTTAAATTTGTTACAATGTGATTCTGCCGTTAGGATTTACATCATATCTCTCCATTAGCTGCCTACATGGGATTGTGGGTCCCACATATTTCAATTTTTGTTAATTTTAAATTGATTAAAATGTTACAAACCAAAAAAACCAAAAATAAATTTAAACCTTTGCTGTACAAATTATCGAACTGGGTCACATCTAGCAGAAGCAATGTGGAAAAAAGTGAACAATTCTTTTCAAGAAAGATTTAAATATATATGACAAGTGGTACAAAAATACAATGCAAAAGATGCAATTTCTGAACCAATAGGTTTGCGTCTAATTATAATATTACACACTGCAGATTTCAGCTTAACATTTATTCTCAAATACAGAATTACAAATGGCATACAACTTTTTCTTCTTGTTTGAAAAATGGCATATAATCCGAAACCAAAAGGTTGGAACGAAATCAGGGGCTCAGAAAGAGAGCTTTGCACTGCTTGATTGTATCTTCAGGGCTGGTAACTGCAAAAAATGTAGAGCATCAGATAATCATGTTGGATATGTGCATTTAAGTGTGCTAAGCAATGATGAGACGGCTGGAAGTCACTTCGACCTGAAATGAGAGCTTACCTGTATGACCTACGGTTCGTTCAGATTCATAAATTTCATGGTCATTTCCTCCCTGCAGAAGATGAAACTCACAAGTCTTAAGGCCCAGATAAAGGAAGTATAGAACAGAGGACTTGAAAAAAGAACTTACGAAATAACAGAAGGAAGCTGTCAAAATGGTTACATGTGTAACTAAGAAGAGGGTAGAGCCCTGAAATTATGGACTAACCTTGTAAGTTTTGTCACCAAAGAAATGGATTTCTTGAAACTTCTCTAGGTATCTCAAGCAGTATGTCTTGTCCCAACCTTGAGGGAAAACCTGTTACAAGCATTGAAAACCATCCATGTTCAATTTCAAATGTCATCCCAACGACCTTTACTAGACCATTCCAAGAGAGGACAAGCAAAAATAAAAATGAATAAATAACCAGAAATCATCAAGCATGAATGAATATCAACTATTGCTTACATCAAAGCTTATCTGTCCTCCTATGGAAAATGTCAAGTTAAAGTGAGCAAACTTCTCGCGAAGGATGGATACCATTTTTGGGCGTATGTTTTGAATCTGCAGACCAAATATCATCTTTCAAGTTATATACAAACGCAAAAGACAATTCATATCCTTTATAATGAAAATAAACTCACAATTTTAGTTTTTTAGTTAAGTATCTAACCTTGTCAAATCTTTCAAATTCATCCCTTTCTTCTTGGCTACAGTTTCGCCCAATTGGTGATACATTAAGCATCCCACTTCGGAACTCTATAAATGTACCCCTACAGTTACAATTAACAATGAAATTATAAGTTTACTATAGATAGGTTAAGAATTAACAAGGCTTTCACTCACTAACCTTTTTATAGGTATGTCCAAGTCTGCGATATAATGAAGTGTAAAATTGATAAATTCCTGCAGAATTGTATGCAAATCATTGCAAATAAATCTCAAGAACAATTTGATTAAGTTTCCAGGTTCTTTGTGCATGCTGTGTTTGACACCTTAGGTATCTTTCTAATAAGGAACTTGAGAGTCATAGCATACAACAGAGCATGGGTTTTACCTTCAGCTTCTCTTCTCCAAGAAATGTCTTCAAGCTCTAAAGAATCCAAAACGCAAAATCCATCAATTTGGAGTAATTACCAAATTAAGAAAGATGTAGGAGAAAAGGAAAAAAAATGCAACACTGTCATGGATGTTAACTTCACAAAATCAACTTCAGAAAACATCACTTTAATAAGGACACTGTATGAATGTGATAACTTGTTTCTATTATCACATTAAGTTGTATAATACCTGGGTGCCAATCAGTGTCCTGTCTTTGTGAGCCACAAGTCCATTCTCAGAAAATACATAATCATAGTCATCAATAACTGCAAAGACAAAGACACAATTAATAGACATAGTTCAACAGATTTTGAAAATTAGTAAATTAGACAGCTAAGCATGTGTCCACAATATCCCTCAAGAACTAACACTAAAGGATTTCTTAGAGTTGAAGGGAAAAGGAACAAAGCACCAAACTTTAGCATATACTAAGACAATTTAAAGGCCAACAATAGATGCAACCAAACAATTAGAATAGCATCTTATACACAAAAGTAAATAAGCTGAGCTTAAATCTTTTTTCTTTTGGCAGAAAGCTAAAACCTTCAAACTCCTTGGTTGTCAAGATCCAATATAAACAAATTGATTTTGAGAGGTGTATATGTATATATATATATATATTGCACGCATAATGAGTAAATATCTAGACTTAAATGTCTTTTGGCGTTATATTTTCTACAAGAAAAAAGTACACACCTGTCCTCCCAAGCTGCTCTGTTATCTTAGAAAGGTCAGATCCTCCAACTATTCCCACTGTAACAGCCTGCACTTCAACAAGGCTTTTGATCATGCACAAAAAACTAACACATACCCCCACCCACCACCAAAAAGAAAAAAACAGAGCCTACACTTTGATGGTAATGGGTGATGTACCTTCCTAAGTTCTCGAATAAACCCCAACATTTCTGGAGTAGCCGCCTAGTATTCAAGTGAACGGTACTGAATTAGTGATGTTTTCAACAACAGATATACATGCATAAACTGATTCGGAAAAATGAAGAAAATTTTCTTTCAAATTGATAAGCCCATGTAATAAATTGGTTGATAAGATGCTAATTTAAAAAGAATAAGCAATTTAAGAGGACAATAACAATCAGAGATCTACACCTTTCTAGGAGCTGTGAGAGTCCCATCAACATCAAACAAGGCAATCACACCAGGCTTCCTGACAGCCATTTACACTTGAAATCTAATTTTCCTGTCACCAAATCCACAATACCACGGTTCTCAATTAACAATTTGATCTTTTAATTTCAACAGCTGCTTATGGAAGGTTGTCAAAATGGACAATTGTTGGGGACTGGAATTCCAAATTGCAAAAGAATATAAAAAGTATCAGGTAAGAAGCAGCGCCCAGTAAATCAAGCAAGCTTGTAGGAAAGAGCAAAACAGATTCTCCCCAGACGCTAAAAAGCATTAAGATCCAGAACCCAGTACTTTTCTACTTAAAAGTACATTGCTTTGACAATGCATTTGACTGAATGAGGCCTAGATTGCAAACTAAAAGTACCCAAAAAACCAACAAGTATTAATAACTGAAAAACAAAAGAAACCCAAATTTAAATGCACCCAAATGAGGGGAAAAAGAAGAAGAAAACTTTAAGATTCAGGCTCTGAATGAGGTTTAAAGATTATGAGCATTCTCAAATGGGAAGCTGTAAACAAATTAGTGAATGAATAGTTGATAACACGAATAAGAAAAAGGATGGTACCTTGTAATTGGGTTATCGCGAGAGAGAAGAAAGTGCAGGTTGAATGAGAGCTCCGAAATGGAAGTTTGAGCAGTACAGAAAATGAACAGATCTTCTTCAGTGGCGCAACTTGGGCAGTTGTTGGGATATATAAAGACATTTATAATATTATTTATTATTATTTTCCAATATGACAGTTGAGAAATGGGGGTTTTTTTATTTTATTTTATTTCATTTCTGATTTGAGAATGAAGATATGTGGAAAAACTGCACAGTGACTGAGAAATTTTTTATCTGGTATTTTAGAGAGGAATATTTAAAAATATGGAATTGGTTTGAAATAATTGAATCTTACTATTTTTCCTATTCCTACATCAAAATATGGAGTTCAAATTCCCATTGTTTGACCAGAGTTGGTAACAAAAAATTAAAATTTAAAAAAGAAAAGAAAAATGGAAGGTTCTTAATCATTTTCCTTGGCTAAAATTCACTGCTTCTGACTGAGCCTGGTCCAATCCATTCTATCTTCCAAAATTGAGTGGTTGTCCTCTGAAGTGAACCCACTTGGCACTAATGAAAGTGAAGATTGTTTTTTTTATTTTAATTTTTATTGGTCAATAAAAGTGACGATTGTTTAACATTCATTTTCAGTACCTTTTGTTTTCATTTTGGTAGGAAACTTCTTTCTTTGGTTTTATTATAACTAACCTCTTCGCACCCGCTTCAAAACTGCAGGAGACTTTAAAAAAAAAAAAAAAAATTATTTTAGAATTAAAAAAGATAATGGATAGTTGTGTTCCATAAAAATACAAACTATTATCTTTTTTTTTTAATATGAAAAAATATGAATTTACCATATTATCTTTATTTAATTAATAATTTCATTTCTTAATGTTTGCATTAACTAAAAGTATTTTATGGTATTTTGAATGTTTCACAATTCTCTGCCTTTTGCTTTATATATATAGAAGGTTATGAACTTCTTCATGGTAATGCTGTACATTTTGTTTGTGCATTTGGGAGGTAACTTCTCACCAACGTGAGGCCTGTCCTTCACTGCTTTTGGTTCATTGTGGGCTTGCCTTTTAGCTATTTCCACCAGAATGCTTTTCTTTCAAAACTCGGGCAGTGACACATAAACCGTGTTAACAACTAGTGGAAACTTGATTTTCTTTTGAGTATGCCAAAAAAAGAAACAAAAAATTTCAAGTCATTCAACTTCATATGTCACATTGTACATAAGCTATTGATGCTCATTCTTCATGAAACATATGAAGGGCCTCTGTTATCATCTATGAAAATTCAAAAAGGTGTCACTTCTTTTCGGCTAAAGTAATGGCCAGTAGGACCACCATTGGGGAGCAGCGCCAACCTGACGAGGCTTTCAGCACCTTCGTTGATGGTTAAGATGCCGGTATTGAAGCTCAAATCTGTTTTGACAAATCCAGGGCTGACAGCATTGATGCAGAAACTTGGATACTTGTTGGCCAGAATCCTAGTGTATGCATTCACGGCTGCTTTTGAGACTGAATAGGGTGGAAAGATAGGAGGCCAGCTTTTGGAGTCTAGAGAACCTTGTTTAAAGTCTTCCAAAAACCTACTAACCACAGCATCTATTCTCTCTTCTGTAAGGCTCTCAGCATCACTTAGTACCTCCTTAGCCCATGCATTTGGAAAATTCTGAAGCAAAATGAAATCAGAAGGGTTTTAAATTGATTTGAAAACAGAAACATTGCATCTACATGTAAATAAAAAGATGGATTTCTAATAATTAAACCTTTCACTACCACTGTTCAGATAAAATTTTGAAACCTTAGCATCACTAAAAAAGTGGTTTATTCTGGAATATAATTAATCTTCTAATGTATAATCCCAGAGTTCCCATAGAGTTCATTCAGAAAAGAAAATCCTGCATAAGGGTTAGTACATTTCAATCAGGCCCGTTTATTTAAGAAGAAACGAAAAATAGATTAAAGACAAAGAATTCTCCACACCATTTGTAAGGCAACTAAATTGACTGAAATATTTAGTTCAACTTATCAACCATATGAACAACCAGTGGAAACTTGATCTTCTTAGGAGAAAGCCAAAAAAGAAACATCTTTTTGAATTTGCTCATACCGTTAGCTTAGAAACTCCTGAAGAAACATTAACGATTCTTGGTGAATTGGATAGCTGGAGGAGGGGCAAAAGTGCTGCAGTCACACTTTTTGTACCATAGTAGTTTGTTTTCAAGCATTCCTCTGCTAACTCGAAGTTTGGTGTTGTCGATATTGCACTCCAATCGATTTCTTCAGCCTTCTGCATCCAGGAGAAGAAAAAGTTTAATCCTTTTGGAAGTTTTGGTCATTACTTTCCCAACTTATAAGATAACTAAAATTGTACAAGGATTGTTTTCACAGAGAATTGCATTGCCTAAGTCCCTAACCTCACCTCAAACAAGGAAATTTTTTTGCATCTAACAAAATTTGGCATAGTTTTCTTATTAGAAGCACAGAAACAAATCAACAACAAGAAGCATTTCGACCAAAAAAAAAAAAAACAAGAAGAACAAGCAGTGTCCAATTTGGCTTTATAGTGGAACAATATAAGGTGCAGCCAACCATACCCACAAGCAAGTCACTCGTCTCAATTAGTGTTGCATTTAATTCTAAAATCATCTTTACTTACTGATGAAGATATATATGATATATAATAGAAAAGCCTTACCTTACTACCACTTGCAGCTGATTTAAAAGCTTCAGGCGTTACTGTGCTTCCATTAATTGCTGCATTGTTTACCTACACAGTACAGAAAGATCCAAATGTTGCATCTTTGTTATGTTTTTTTTGCTCTCTATTGCTTCAAGCAGTAAAAAAAATAAACTTAAAATTTCAAGATATACCAAGATATCAAGTTTCCCAAATTGGGTTTTGACAAAATCTGCAAAGGAAACAATGCTAATGGAGTCTGCTACATCAAGCTGATGAAACACCACGAGGTCGGAGAGGCCAAACTCTTTTAACTTTTCAACGGCTTCAAGACCCCTCTTCTCATCTCTAGCAGCTAACACCACAGTGACCCCATTTGAAGCCAACTGCTTAACTGTGCCAAATCCAACCCCTTTATTAGCCCCTGTGACAACTGCATACCTGAGGAAAAAAAGAAACACAATGAAAGATCAGAAATGGGTGTTATTTATGTGGGCAAGAAGATTTGATTGGAAAGTCCAAACACCAAAGCATAAGAGGAACTTGGTATTATTACCTCTTTGTTGCTTCTGCCATTGTTATGAACTTTGCTTATTTCTTTCTCAGATTGTTTCTAGCAATTCTCATGCCATCATTTATAGTTGGACTTTTCTAGTTCTCAGATTAACTTCTCGTCCTCGCTCTTTCCCAGCCCACCTACGATCATATAAATTGAGATTGAGATTGAGAGTATGCAATGAGGTCATATTTCAAACAATGTTGTGCATGCAATGAGGTCACGTCACGTCTCACCAAACTTTGACGTTTTTTCTTTTCTTCTTTTATAAAAAGGTTGAACCATTCGTTTTGGTTTGGTTTTCTTTCCTTTTTCTGGGCCTTTGGACCTCCTTTTTGAGCAACGGAAAAGATGAGTTTTGGGCCTTCGGCTTTTTTCTTCTATGTTTGTTTGGGCTTTAAGCCCTCCTCATTACCCTTCATCTATTTTTTTTGGGGACAAATCCTTACCGTTCATCTCAATCAGAATTATCTAATGTTGCAAAACCAATCAGCCAATCTTCGAGCATTTACATTCGAGATTAGACCAAAGATAAGTCTTTCAGAAATTTAGCTCCGACACCATATTGGTAATGTATATAAGAAATAAAGCATGGTTTTATTTGTTTAAGCAAGAAGAAAAAGGTAAGGACACATGAGAGAACTAGAGCAATTATCAATCATTTACCAGAAGACAGAAAACTAGAGCATTGCATTGTATTTGGTGCAATTTGGATCTCATCAAATTGTATGATTAATTTGCCGGAGGCAGGCTGCATAATGTGAATAATTGTATGATTAATTAAGAGATCACATTAACTTGTGCCCGACGGTTTTCTGTTTAAATTATAAATGCAATATATTGTCTTTATTTTAACTTATTGCTTTTTTAATTAATTGTTTATCTCGTGAATCTCCTACACAAGCCCATCAAACATTTAGATTTAGTAGAGCATAATTGAATTAAGGAGCCATTGAATTATATTCATGATATTGATTTTGGTCAGATCAATTTTGTACATGAACTATTGATGATCATTTCTTGGTTAATTATAAAAGGGTAAGATGAGAGGGTAAGATGGTTGCACAAACTTTTTCCTTCTGATAATGAGAAACAGTGCTCCAGACTGTGTGTTCTGATATCTTGCATTAGACCTTGGGGTTGCTTTGCTGGTAACAATGGCATCAACATGCTCAGACAACATTTCTTGCATGAAATCCATATCATCATCAACAGTCCACGCATATACTTTCTTCTTTCTCCTGTTAAAACCAAGATATAATATTAAAGCATGAAATCTCATAACATGCATATACGCTAGGTACCACAATGTTTACGAATCAAGTCAAAGTCATGCCCATATTAGAATTCTCACAACTGACTCATCAATCGATGGGTGGTTACACCAACAACGACAGCACCTTTCATCCTCAGTAAGTTGGTTCTGGCCCTGGTAGACGGATCGATCATAACAATGTACCCGACCTGCATCATCATATGTCATACGCTAACTCAAATATTTTTTTCACTGACAGTTAATATCATAGTGCGAACTCAAATTTCTTCACCTAATCCTTATGATCTATGATCAGTAGTGAATCCAAGATTCCAAACTTGGGTAGGCAAAAACTTACATACAAAGCTTGACAAGAGATTTTTTTTGGGGTCAATAACTTGACAAGAGCTTATAATAATTTACTATACCAAATTTTGCCTTTAGCAACGGATAATATCCATTGCCAAATCACCCTTCCTACCGTGGTATTACTTACCTTTGCCTATAACATTACCTTTATATATTTACAACATCAGTTCTATAATAAACACCGATGCTAAAGTTCCTTATGTGTGCCAAAAAAGTTGACCCCCGATGCCTAAACATGCAATGGCATTGGTAGTTTTAATAGTCCTGATACTAAATATGGTTTATAACATAAGAATTTTATACTACACTAATGCATTTTTTGACTTACAACATCACAAAAACCAATAGTGGCAAATGCTACTTCTAGTTATAGACATCAGTTGTCTTATGAGTGATGTTGTTTTAAATTTTGAACTTTAGTTATTTGTGCAAAATTAGGTTGTTATGAACAATATCATGCTGTGTTGCCCATTGCACATAAAAAACATATATAATTTAAATATATCCAACACTACAATTTTTCCAGACCCCACATATGAAAACAAATTTTGAAAATTACATATGACAACAAATTTCTTCATTTATCAACCTTGAAATTTGAGTACAAAAGATAAATATAGTCTAACAAATCAAATAAATATAAATTAAAGTAAATAACCCTCTATAAAAACTATCATAATAAATTCCAACAAAATACAAGAGGGAGTCTCAAAATATTTGCGAGGGAGCATGGAAAATATTTTTTGGGAATTAGGACTGCAGTAAAGAAACCATATAGGAATATGAATAAACATTTCATATTAGATATGTATTGCTATTTTATGACATGAAAAATTGTGAAGGCGCGTTGAATTTGTATCATGTGGGCACCTGAGAAGCTTTTTGGGAGATGAAGCTCACGCCTACCTTGCCTGTAACATCCCACATCGACCAACAGAGAGGAGGTACTGTGCTTTATATGTACATGCCCGCCTTAATATAGCACAAGGCCTTTTGGGAGCTCATTGGCTTCGGAGTCATGAGAACTTCGAAGTTAAGCAAGTTGTGGCTATGGCAATCCCAGGATGAGTGACCTACTGGGAAGTTGCTTGTGAGTTTCTAGAAGCAAAACCGTGAGGGCATAGAGGGGGAAGCAAACAATATCGTGCTACGGCGAAACCGATCCTGAGATGTGACAATTTGGTATCATAGCTACCTAGTGCCTAGTGCAATAAAGAAACTAGATAGGAATATGAATAAACATTTCATATTAGATATGTACTGCTATTTTATGACATGAAAAATTGTGAAGGCATGTTGAGCTTGTATCATGTGCGCACCTAAGAAGCTTTTTGGGAGCTGAAGCTCATGCCTACCTTGCCTACCTAGTGCCTAGTGCCTATGTTGCCCTTAGCGTAGGACCGCCACTGTCTAAGATCGTACAGTTCCAATGTTGGACGAATGAAATCAGTAACATACTTAATGTATTAATTTCCATGAACATTGTTGATGTCCAAAATTGGATTCAACTTAGATAGAAGAAATGTGGAGTCTTCAACATAACTAGGGGGCTGTGGACCTTGAATAAGGGGGATCTTCGGTCACAAAATCATACACTTCGAAGTTTTTCATCATTACTTTCCTAACTTATAGGAAAACGAAAATTGTACCAGGATTTCATCTGCAGAAACCACAAATTGTAGCATTGACATTGATTTATAAATTATAATGGACAAAGAATAAATCCACCAAATACGAATTACTTTTATTGCAGAATCATCATAAAGAATCTCTAGGGAAGCTGATCACTCACATACCTCTAACATAAGTCTCTCAGCATCATTTGTTACATTATCGTAGATGAACTCCCGATGACCCTTATTCATGAAACATATGAAAAACCTCTGGGATCATCATAATTATTCAAAACGGGGTTGCTTCTTTGCATAAAAAGAAGTGGCCGGTAGGACCGCCATTGGGGAGTAGCGCCAACCTGACAAGGCTTTCAGCACCTTCTTCGATGGTTAAGGTGCCAGTATTGAAGGTTATATCTGTCTTGACAAATCCAGGGCACACACAATTGATGTAGAAGTTGGGGTACTTCTTGGCCAGAATTCTAGTGTATGCATTCACAGCTGCTTTTGAGACTGTATAGGGTGGAAAGATAGTTGGCCAGCTTTTGTTTTCTACCAAACCTTGTTTAAGGTCTTCTAAAAGCTCAGCCAATACTGCATCTATTCTCTCTTCTGTAAGGCTTTCGGCGTCACTTAGCACCTCTTTAGCCCATCCATTTGGAAAAATCTAAAGCAACATGAAAAACATGAGAGTTTTGATTTGATAGAATACAGAAACATTAAACATTAAACCAGTAGACTTCATTAAACCAGTAGAAAACACTGATTAAGAGTTAATGCATTTCAAGTGGGCCCATTTATGAAAGAACTAAAGAAGAAGAACAGATTAGTGACAGAATCCTACAAATATCTTTTATAAAGGCAAATAAGTTGACTGAAATATTACGTTTCGTCAACCATATTGACAACTAAATAAGTGGAACATGATCTTGTTAGGGGAATGTAAAAAGAGAAACATAAATTTGAAGTTTCTCATACCACAAGCTTAGAAATACCGGAAGAAACATTAACGATTCTTGGTGAATCAGAGAGCTGGAGGAGGGGCAAAAGTGCTTCAGTCACTCTTTTGGTACCATAGTAGTTTGTTTTCAGGCCTTCTTCTGCTAACTTGTAGTTCGGTGCCGTCGGTATTGCATTCCAACGGATTTCTTCAGGCTTCTGCATGCAGTATAGGAGAAAGTTAATCCTCACGGAAGTTTTGCATCATTTACTTTCCTAACTTATAAGAGAATGAAATTTGTACAAGGATTGTGTTCCCAGAAAATTTCATTGCCTAAGCCCCTAAACTCACCTCAAACAAGGAAATTGTTTTGCATCTAATAGAATTTGGCATAGTTTTCATTGATTCATAATTGGATAGCTAAGAACAAGTATAGTTTTCTTATTAGAAGCACAGTCACGAATTGCAAAACATGAAAAACAAGAAGCAGTATCCAATTTGACTTATGAAGAAGATATATATGATATATAACACAGAATCTTACCTTACCACTTACAGCTGATCTAAAATCTTCAGGCTTTATTTGGTTTCCAATCATTCCTGCATTGTTTACCTACACAACACAGTACAGCAGTAGCAAATATTTCATATTTTTATGTTTATTTCAACGTAAAATGTAAATCAAAGCAAGTAAAATCAGTAGATAATTAGAGATCATGTATAATAAAAAATTGTAATAAATATTATGCTTGATTGCAATAAACAGTAAAAAAAAAATTCAACTTGAATTTCAAGATATACCAAGATATCAAGTTTCCCAAATTGGGTTTTGACAAAATCTGCCAAGGAAGTAATGCTAGAAGGATCTGTAACATCAAGCTGATGAAAAACCACAAGGTCAGAGAGGCCAAACTCTTTCAATTTATCAACAGCTTCAACACCCCTCTTCTCATCTCTAGCAGTTAACACCACAGTGACCCCATTTGAAGCCAACTGCTTAACTGTGCCAAATCCAATCCCTTTATTAGCCCCTGTGACAACTGCATACCTGAAAAAAACAAAAAACAGGAACCCAATTTTGAAAGATAATAAGAAATGTCCAAGACAATATGTATACTGCTTATTTGAACCAGGCACTACCTCTTTGTTGCTTCTGCCATAGTTAATGCTTCAGCTATATTTGTGGCTTATTTATAGGCCTCATACAGTCGACCATCATTTATACACTCAAAGTCATATAGATATTTCAAGTAACATTGTGTATGCAATGAGGTCATATGTTATGCTTTTGACATTTCAACTTTCAACCAACCATTCTTTTTGGTTCAGTTTTCAACCACACGCTACAATACTGGGGCCTTTAATCGATGCTTCTTCTAGGCTAGGCATTAATTTTATAAGGGATACAGAGTACAGAACTTCCAATCTTTCCGTACATCAACTAGAAATAAAAGTGAAAACTCAAGCAAAATGCGTTCTCTATTTCATGAATTTAAGAAATTTCAGCAATGCCAAAATTTATTTTATACTTCGCAGAATCTTCATATGAAATCTCTAGGGAAGTTGATCACTCACGTGCCCCTCCCCATCTATAACTCCCCCAATTTTTCATGTCACATTTGTACATAAACTCTGGAGGATCATTATTCCTATGTTACATTGTACATATACTATAAATATTCAAAAAGGAGTCACTTCTTGACGGAGAAAATAGAGGCCGGTAGGACCGCCATTAGGGAGAAGCGCCAACCAGACGAGACTTTCAGCACCTTCGTCGATGGTTAAGACGCCAGTATTGTAACTTATATCAGTTTTGACAAATCCAGGGCTCACACAGTTGATGTAGAAATTTGGATACTTGTTGGCCAAGATCCTAGTGTACGCGTTCAAGGCTGCTTTTGAGACTGAATAGGGCGGAAAGAGAGGAGGCCAGCTTTTGGTTTCTGCTAAACCTTGCTTAATGTCTTCCAAAAACACACCAAGCACATCATCTATTCTCACTTCTGTAAGGCTTTCAGCCTCACTTAGCACCTCTTTAGCCCATCCATTTGGAAAATTCTGAAGCAACATGAAAAAAAGAAGAGTTTTAATTTGGTTAGGAAACAGAAAACGTTGCATCTAAATATAATTGATAGATTGCTTACAATTTAACCTTTCACTACTAATGTTTAGCATCACAATAAGAATGGTTATTACTATCTCGAATTTTGAACAACCTTCCAAAGGGTTAATTGAACTTCCAAAAAAAAAAAAAAAAATTAGAATCCAGTCGATTAGTGAAAGAATTAACTAAAGAAGAACAGATTAAGGACAAAGAATTCTCTAACATCTTTTGTACAGAAACTTCATCAACGATATTAACAACTAGTTGAAACTTGAGAATACCAAGAAAGAAACACATTTTTGAAGTTGATCATACCATCAGCTTAGCGAAACGAGAAGAAACATTAACGATTCTTGGTGAATCAGATAGCTGGAGGATAGGCAAAAGTGCTTCAGTCACTCTTTTGGTCCCATAGTAGTTTGTTTCCAGGCATTCTTCTGCTAACTCGTAGTTTAGTGTTGTTGATACTTCACTCCAATCGATTTCTTCAGCCTTCTGCATTCATGAAAAGACATGTAAAACCCTGTTGCAAGTTTTGCATCATTACTCTCCTACACTAAAAGATACAAAAAAATTGCAGAACGGTTGTGTTCCCAGAAAGCCTAAGCCTCTAAGCTCACCTCAAACAAGGAAATTGTTTTGAATGCAGCATATTCATAATAAGGTAAGGTCCAACCAACCATATATGACCCAGAAGCAATGTCGCATCCAATTCCAAAAACCCCAATTACTTTTAAGATCACATATTATATGCAGAACCTTACCTTACCACTTACAGCTGATCTAAAAGCTTCAGGGTTCAGTTGGCTTCCAATAATTCCTGCATTGTTTACCTACACAGTACAGAAGTTAAAACATATTGGATCTTTTTTATGTATATTTCAACTAAAAATATAAATTAAAGCAAAGCATGAATTTCAGTAGGCAATCAGAGATCATCACAATTGCAACATTTTGCTATCTCTATTTCTTTAAGCTGCAAAACTGAACTTAAAATTCCAAAACTTACCAAGATATCAAGTTTCCCATGATGGGTTTTGACAAAATCTGCCAAGGAAGCAATGCTAACAGGGTCTGTTACATCAAGCTGATGAAAGACCACGAGGTCAGAGAGGCCAAGCTCTTTTAATTGTTCAACAGCTTCAAGACCCCTCTTCTCATCTCTAGCAGTTAACACCACTGTGACTCCATTTGAAGCCAGTTGCCTAACCGTGCCAAATCCAATCCCTTTATTTGCGCCTGTGACAACTGCGTACCTGAGAAAAACGATATCCCCAAGAACCAAGAAAGACAATAAGAAATGGAAAAGTACAAAGCATATAGAAGAACCGGACAAGACAACACTACCTCTTTGTAGCTTCTGCCATTGCTAATTAGCTTTCAGCTCACTCTTGGCTTCTTTCTAGTTTTCGCACCATTATTTATAGTTGCATTTATAGTTGCACCATTAGGCTTTTACCATCGTCTTATTCATTCATATCGTGTATGCAATGAGGTCATATCTCAAAAATAAAAATATTGTGCATGCAATGATGTCATATCTCACTATACCTCACCAAACCCAGTTATTAATTTATTATTACTTTCATGACCAAAAAAAACAGTTACTTTTACGTTTGTATTTTTTTGCTATACCACTTTTTTGTCAATAACGGCAAAATTGTACTTTCCTAAATCCAAACTAACAAAGGCCATAATGGGCTTACTCATTGACTAAAAACTAACAAAAATATAGAATCACTTGAGCAAGAACCAAAAATGTATAGGCTCTTTAGAAGTTCTTAATTAGCGCGGTTTTCACATGTAAGCCCATAAATAAGGCCCCAGATATAAAAGAATTCTACAATACCCAATCAAATCTTAGGAAAAACTCCATTTGCCTTTTGGAATCAAAATAAGGAACTAAATTCCTATTACGGACACTCCTATGTTTACTTCACATGGAGGATTGAAAATGCGAGTGACACCCACACAAAAACAGTAATTCAACTCTTGATTTTTAAGGAATTAGACTCTTGGGTGGAAAGTGATATTCTAATTCGTGGAGAACTAAGAATTCAACTTTTTTATCCATTACATTCTCACATAATTTTTAAAATTCCAAATTTGGCATATACTTTAACCCAACAACGAGGGATTTTAGTAATCAATTTGGTTTCAATTCTAATTCATGTGAATTTAACTTGTAAGGAATTAGTACCACTCTCTCCCCAATTCCATATGGTTTAATAAACAAACTTCAATAGGAATTCGGAATCTAACTCTTCTCAATCCAACTCCTCCTCAATTCAATTCCTCATAATCCGATTATGGATTAGTAAGCATGCTATACACCGTACAACCCTTGAAAACCCTAAAAATTACAACAATGCTATTAGTGTTTTTTTTCCTCTTTCCTAAAAATCATAATCCAAGGACAAAAATGATATTACTCATATAATTCAAATTAAAAATATTACAGTTCAGTTGGTCCTCAATTTAGGGTGTATATATAAATTCAATGCAAGAAATGAATTTTATTATACATTTCTCTAAATTTTTCAGAATGCCCACTAATCAAGGCCCAGGAGCCTGAGTGTTTAGTTTCGCTTCTCTCCCTAGGCTTGGTTCCCCCATTGCAGCCAAAAAGAAAAAGAAAAAAAAGGAGTGGCACTGTGGCACCTAATTCTTTTTCTAATAAGAAATTATATTTTTCTTTCTGGGTTACCTGGAACAAGGAATGAAAATTTCAGATCAGTGATAAAGAACACACAAAAATATTAAAATATTCAAAATAATATGGCATTAATAATAGCATTCCGATATTTTAGCCACTAAACAATTAATGAATGAACTGAATACACTCAACAATAAGATCACGTGCTTGCTCCCCAGGAAATCAGAGGGCTCGGCACAACTTGTTCTTGTTCAAAACCCGACCTCGTTGCGGCTTTAGCTTTGGTGAAGGCATAGGCAAGTTCTTGACGTCGATAACTTGAATTTTCTTTCGCTTGTTTTGGAACTCTCGATAGCCTTGGTGAAGCTTTCGAACACTAGTCTCCAACTTTTCTTCATCATCCCAATCTTGCCGATGATGAAGATCATGATCAGTAGATTTTGTGGGCCCCTTAGGGTTTTGTTGGCTCTCCAAAAAATCAGAGAAGGCTCCGCACTTCGTCGAACCGGTCAATGGCTTGTTCTTGCTCAAAACCTGGCCTCGCTGCGGCTTAGACGGCAAAGGCAAGTTGTTGATGTCAAGAAGTTGAATTTTCTTTTTCTTGTTTTGGAACTCTTGATAGCTTTGGTGAAGCTTTTGCTTGCTATTCTCCAACTTCTCTTCATCATCCCAGTCTTGCCGTTGATGGTGAGCATCAGACTTTGTTGGCCCCGTAGGGTTTTGTTGACAAGAAGATGGTGGTGGAGCGCTTAGCATCAAGCGGAGGGTCTCCAAACTCTTCCCTTTGCCTTGGGATGGTGGTTTCTTGGGCTTCTCTTGAATTGCCATGTCGTGGTCATCAAGTTTGACGTCGTCGAACAAGTTGGAGGGATCGAAAGTCGCGGTTTCACTTTCAAGGATGAAGACAGCTCGTCGAGGGGAGGGCAAGCGAGTCCAGCGAAGTCGTCATCGTCTACACCAACGCCAACAGGAGGGGAGGGCTCTCGCTCGCATCGCTGTTCCTTCAAAGCCTTCATCTTGTCTGAAAGAGAAAGTAGCTAGTGAAGTGAAAGGTCTCGATCGTTTGAAAGAGAAAATATTATAGCGAATTTTGGAAACCCTAAATCACAGTAGCTAGCGTTTACAAAAGCCTCACGCTACATATGTATTTATAGTTTCCTGTTTCCAAATCTCAATGGGAAAACCAATATTTAAATTCAAATTAATTATAATGTACTTTTACAATTTGCCAACTCACGTTTGGATCTACTTATCTTGCTGTGAAAATATTAAAATATTCGAAACAATATGGCAAGAATTAAATACCCAAGTTTTCTGTTGGAGTTGGACTGAAATTAGCTTGGCTTCCAAGTTTTTTGTTTTCTTGATTTATTTTCCTGATAGGACAAGAATTAAATACCCTAATCGGACAAGGACTATATGAGAGATTGTATAAGGATAGCAAACCCATCTCACTTTTCCTTACTTTGTTTTTGTTGATCACTTTCACTTCACAGTTTACTTCCTTCAATTTCTCATCAACTAGAACAAAGATTTCCCTTTTCGGTTCTCTACCAATTTGTTTTGTTGATCATGGCTTCTTCTTCACTGGGTTCTTTCAATCTCTCAAGTAGGAGCAAAAGAGAAGGAGACGAAGCAGAAGACAAAGGGAAGATGGGGTATTTGACAATGGAAGATTTTAAAGGCATGAATTTTGATTCTTTGTGTCCTTATGATCAACTGACATTGGTTGCCACTGTTCTTGTTGAAAAAACTGAGCAAGAGAAGAAACAATTGAAGAATGAGGAGCACCAGATACAGAGCAGACCCTCCTCATCACCACAAGTTTCTTCTTCTTCTCCAAATGCATCACCCCATTTTCATCCCTTGGTCCCTGGCTTGGTTCAAGGCAAATATGTCAATTGGGTGCAGCAGGGATACCCTAAGAAACCAAGGTCTGCTTCTAATTTTGGGCAAAAGTCAACAATGAAGACCAGCCCCCCTGCTACTGTTGCTGCTGCTGCTGCTCCTCATGATGATCATATTCAGGGGCATAGAAGGAGTAATAATTATGGGTTGAAAAGAAAATCCAATGATGATCATGATGATAGAGATAAAGATTGGGCTGCTCCCAAGAAGAAAAAGGAGAAGAAGGTGTACATCAAGAACAACAAGGGTCCTACTCTTGACCATCGTCCTGATTTGCCTGAAAATTTCAAGAAAATGATCATAGGCCAGATGAATGGCACAGAGCTGAGATGTCTCATACAAAAGGAATTGTTCAGAAGTGATGTAAAAGGCAATCTAAACAGGTTTTCATTGCCTCCAAACCAAGTCTTATGCAACGATTTCCTCACACCTAGTGAGATTGATGCTCTTAAAGAGAGGAAAGAAAAGAAAAATCATGATCAGGGTTCCTTAAAGAGTCCATCGCCTTCCCTCAAAGTTCCATTTATAGATCCGAGTCTTAAGCTTGAAGATAAAGAAGGGATAAACTTGACTATGTGGACGCTGTCAAACTCAGAAACAAAAACGTATGTGTTGAGAACTACTTGGGGTAAGGTTGTTAGGGAAAACAAGCTGGTTCCTGGTGATGTAATCCAAGTTTGGTCTTTCCGAGCTAACAACAATCAGCTTCACTTGGCTATTGTTGTGGTAAAAAGAGCTGGGAAAATTGGTAACAACCAGAGTGAAGGGAGTTCTAGTAAGAGTGGCAATATTGTTGATATTGGTGATGAATGTGGTGGCCAAGGAAGTAGAGGAGTGGAAAGTAGCAGTGAAGTTGTGTACAAGAGCGCACATAAGATTCATTTGTCAGATAAACAGGAAGATGAAGACTTTTAAAGCTCTAATTATGATTACATATTCTTTTTGTAAAATTTTTCTGATGAGCTTTACATAGATCAGGTTTCAGTTGCAATGTAATTAACTGATTAATCAATGCAAATACTAGCAAATGCTAATTAATATGTGCATGCATATGTGTAAATTTTTAGGAAGTAATATTTGTATGGACTATCAGATTTATAAATATATATTTAATTGATCTTTAATTTTTGGATGGAATCGGTCAATTAGAGTCAGGCCCCTTGATCAAGGAATTAAAGAAATACAGATTAAGGGCAAAGTTTTGTCCAATATCTGGATGTAAGCACAGAGACACAAAGAGTTTGAGAAATTGTTGTTACACCACACCAAGATAAATATAGCAATTTAAAAAGAAGAGGATCATTATTTCATGAAATTGAAAAGGGTTTATGCTCAGAAGGGTGAAACTTGTAAATAGAAATAGAGGCCAGAAGGGCTGCCATTTGGAACCATAGCTAACCTCACAACACTCTCAGCACCTTCATCAATGGTTAACATGCCAGTATTGAAGTTCATATCTGTTTTGACAAATCCAGGGTTTACACTATTGATGCAGATGTTTGGGTATTTGTTGGCCATCATTCTAGTGAACGCGTTCACCGCTGCTTTTGAGAGTATATAGGCAGAGAGGGAAGTAGGCCAGCCTTTGGTTTCTAGAATATCTTCTTTGAAGTCTTTGAGAAACTCATTCAAAACATCATCTATTCTCTGTTCTGTAAGTTTCTCAGCATCACTTAACATCCCTTTGGCCCATTCATTTGGTATATGCTGAAACAAACATGCATATGAAAAACATTTTGATTTGAAGACAGAAACTTCTTGTTAGCCCATAACTACAATAGGACTCAAATACAACAAAGAAACTGTTGAAATTAATACACATTTGTATGTTAAAAAATATAGAAAAATCTAGAAGCTTGAAGAAAGTGCTATAAGCTTGAAGGAAATGTTGGCTAACACAATTAAAGACTGAAGAATGTTCCAAAAAAACCAAGAAAGCATGCAGCAAGGAATTGTGGAGAAGTTCACCAACTATGTCGGTTGAACATGTGGCTGGAGTAAAGAGCTCAAGTCGGTGGAGAAAGCATATGTCGGCTACTCTCATCTATAAAAGGACTTGTAGCCTCCCCAAGCAAAGTGGAGTCATCCACCAACTCCCAATCTTTGTGGAGTTCAACAAAAAAGAACTCCCAAACCATTAGGGAGCCAAGAGCTACCCAAAGCTAGCTATGTTAGGGAGCCAATAAGCTCACCAATCAAAGTGTAAGGGCCAAATAGCTAATCTAAATCAAGTGTGGTGGCCAATAAGCCAATATGCTAAAGAGGCCAATTAGCCTACACCATGCTATGTACTATTCTCCTCAAATCTAATAAAATCACTTTGTTTCCCCTACAATTCTAACAGAAACAAAGGGCTCAAGTGGTGAAAATTGAAACAACAACCTGATGAGATGCCAAAAATATGAAAACTCTTCGTACCTTTAACGATCCCATGCCGGAAGAAAGACTGACAACTCTTGGTGAATCAGATAGCTGGAGGAGAGGAAGGAGTGCTTTGGTCATTTTCTTGGCACCATAGTAGTTTGTTTTCACACATACTTCAGCTAACTCATATGTTTGAGTCATTATTTCACTCCAATTTACTCCTACACCATCCTGCATCAAAGAAAGAAAGATTGCATTGAGCTAGTCCATTTTTGAAATTAAAGATTTGTATTTGAAATTTATATATGAGAAGTTTTAATCAAATCCACATATAATTTGGACTCTTTAAGATGCTAAAGAAAAACTTACCTTATCAATACCTGCAGCTGCAGCAGCTCTCATAGATTCAGGGTCTACAATGGTTCCACTAACCCCTGCATTATTTACCTACAGATTAAGTTAAAAGTTACCAGTAAGTAACATAGCGGAAAGTCAATGCGCTTTTCATAGTTATACGAATTTTTTCTAACATGAGCATGAACAGAGAGATAGAGAAGTTGATCATATATGGTTTCTTATCATACCAAGATATCTAGTTTCCCAAATTGGGTTTTGACAAAATCTGCAAGGGAAGCAATGCTAGCA